CAGGTACAAACTAGAAACTGGATGACCCAAAACAGGATAAACAATTGCTTTAGCTTTCTGAAACACCCAACACACTAATGCCCCTTTACAACTAGTAAAGTGAGAGCTAGTGATACAATTATGTAGCCAATTCAATCAAACATGCCCCGCCCCACTAGTCTTTGAATCCAGCTTCAGTTGTGGAATGAACGCATACCTGGTATTTTTGACCACTGTGTGACAGAGTGTTGGACTGGATGGGCCATTGGCCTGATCCAACATTGGCTTCTCTTATGTTCTTATGTACTGCTATACCCCCCCTTCAGACTTATATGTACACTCTCCAGCATATAACAGGAGAATACGTAGTTTGCAAAGAAAACTCCTGCACAAGGCCTGAATAACCCCAAAGTTTAAAATCTGAAGATTCTCAGGACTGCACCAAATCAAAGGGGAACTGACGACTCTCTAATAGAACACTAATGATCCCACATCCTCATGTAATGACAAGAGTGATGAAGGCAGATACAAAATATTTTTTAAAAAACAACCCAACAGGGCATTTGCAGAGCATCATAACTTGACAACTAATCCAGTAGCTGAAATATCCCAGAACAGTAACAAAATCCTGCTACAAATGTATGAAGAGGTTCCTCACTGGTAGGGGCACACACAAAAAGGTACAAAAGAGAAAATGAGGAAAAAGTTTCAAAACAGCAGCTAGAGTAGGTTCTATGCAGACAGCAAGGTAGAAACCAAGGTGACCCACTACTAGTGACTGTATTTACTCAAATGTAAGGCTAGGTTTTCCCCATGTATACCATCAAAAAGAAAAGAAATCATATTAATTTCACATGCAAGTTACAGTTACGTCCACTAATAAAATCTTTCTGTGTATATTTTTTTGGGTGGTCTTACATTCAGGGGTTATCTTCATTTCAAGTAAATATGCAACAAATCTGCATCATTGGCAGAGACAGCATTGAAACGATTAACTATTCTGATCCCTGGCCACTTGACAGCAAGTCTCCAGCACTCCCTTACTCAAAGGGACCCTCTGTCCTATCAGCACTGCTACTGACACTCCAGGAAAACACAGGAAGTGCATCTCAGTATTCACAAGATTTCTCCCCGTGGTGGGAAAGACAACCTTCAAGTCAGCCTAAGTGTGAGACCCACGGTTAAGAAAACGGCTTTCTGAAATAAAGAGATAGATCAAGTTGGGTAGCCATGTTTATCTGTCTGTAGCAGCAGAAAAGAGCAAGAGTCCAGTAGCACTTTAAAGACTAACAAAATATGTGGCAGGTTAGGAGTTTTGGTTCACTTCTTCAGATCATCTCTTTTCTGCCAAAATGAAAGTTATCCAACATGTAACTCCGTGTCAGGCGGCCCATTTCTCCTTCTCCCACCCAGCCCCCTTCAACTCCCAAAATGTACAAAAATTCGCTGGAAAATACGCTGGAGGTTCTTCGTCCATTCCAGAAATATTGTTGCATGCCCGGGGGGGAGGGGGGGGGCAGGTTGCTTTAACTAGATCCATAAACGAAAAGGCCCGTGTCAGCTTTCCGCTCAGACCCCAAACGAAGCACACAATGCCGTGAAAACTTCCCACTTCTCCCTAACGCTTCATCACAGTAGACACTAAAGAGGGAGAAAGTTTCAGACCTTAAGATGGCGATCCAAAAAGAAAAAGGGAAGAAAAAAAAAAAGGCGGTCTCTACAACCACCACCACCATTTTGGTTTGTAGCCGCCCGGCCTGAGTAAGCGTCCGGCGCAGCTCAAGACTAAACAGATAAATAAAAGGTCGGGGCGCAGTTGGCGGGGGTGCCGTTTGTTTGCTTTCACCCAACGCGCCTACCCGGAATTCCTTTTTCTTTTTCTTGGTACCACATTTCAGTCTTGGAATCATGGAGTTCGAAGGGACCTCCGGGATCATCTAGTCCAACCCCCCCCCCCGCAAAATGCGGGGAATTCACAAATACCTCCCCCCTCCTCCACTGGAAGACGAAGTTTTTTAAAAAGCCAGAGCAAAACCTTTAAGGATTCCCTCGAAATAACGCCTCCAATCGTCGCGTCGGCCGAGTCTCCCCGCGGCCCCTGAGCACCCGAAGGGCCTCCCCCTCCCTCCCTCCCTATGAAGAAGACGGAGCTCGTCTCCATCGTGTCGTAGAGGGACCCCGGCGGCGCGGTCCGGCGGCGGCGGCTCGCGTTGGCGGTGGGGGCAGCTGCGGCGTTGTTGCCGCCGTTCTCGTCCTCCGCACCGGGGAGGCTCGAACTTCCCCAGCCGCTCCGAAGCATCACCATGGCCGGTCTGAAGCGGCGGCCCCCAAATCAAGCGGCGGCCACGACACTTTCCGTCCTTCCTCAGCCAACCTCCGAATTCTGGCGCCACAGACCGAACGCGCCGCCTCACCAACCGCCTCACGGATCCCTCCACCCCACAGCCCTTTTCCTCTGGCGGGAATTCTCTCAAAACACTAGCCGACAATAAATTGTTTTACATACCTCGGTCTGCTTTCCTTCCAAGGCCGGCTACGAAACCACACAGCAATTTTAAAAAAATACATATATCCCGGAACTATTTTTTGTCTCAAGAAGTTCCGGAGAGCGCCACGACTCGCGGAAGAGGATATTACTGAGTGCTTCTCCAGTTTCGGAATTTTTGGCGCGTACAGAAGTTTTTTGAGGGGAAAAGCTTGTTTTGCTGGGCTCTGATTGGCTGACTTCGGCTGCGCCCCATCGGCCTGGCGTTGCCGTCGCGTGCCAAGCGGAATTCAAATAAGAAGTTTTTAAAGAGACACAGACGCACACTCGCGCTCTCTTTTCCTCCTTAGCAAAACCCGCTTTCCTGCATTGTTACAACGTGTTAGAAGCGGGGCGGGGGGCGCGCGGAATAAGTAGGTTTGCCACCCACCCTCCAGGTGGCACGGTCAAGGAAGGTCCAACACAAAGATTAAACCAACGGTGGGGTTTGCTTTGTCAAACTAGCAGAGATGGCAATGCATAGGGATTGTAAAACCAGTACTGTCAATAGATAACTAAAGAAGGACAATTCCCAGGGCCTGTTGAGATCTCCATTCCCAAAGCTGTCAATGTATTTCTTACAACTCATTAGCTAACAATAGAATTGAGTGGGTTCATTTGTGCTCTGTGTTTTACAATTGACAATTTTCCCTCTTTCACTGCTTGGTCTTTTACATTCGGAAGAAAGATTTCTATCCTGCCCTCCTCCACAAGTGGGCTCAGGGTGGGTTACAGCAAACCAATAAAACAAAAACAATTTCCATATAATTCCAATTTAAGACCTAAAAACCAGACTAATTGATACATGATGTCAAACCAGTAATTCAGCAAAGCCCCCGGTGTATGCTGTATGTATGTCCAGAAAGGGCCAGCATATTAAGCAAGTGGGCACAAGCCACCACCTATGGCACAACTTGGTACAGTGCATGACATAGGTGGGTTAGAACAGGGAAGGTTGATATAATTAGGCACCCACCGCCTCAAACAAAGGCATGGTGGGAAAGCACTGTTTTACACAGGGGTCTTGTTGTAGAAAAAGAGCTGCCGGAGCTCATTAGCATAACTCATTAGCATAACTTATTTGCATATGCCACGCCCCCTGACATCACCGGAAGTGACAGAAGGCCACACCCCCTGACATCACCGGAAGTGTGTCAGAAGGCCCTGCTACTTACCCTCCTGCTTCATCCTCATTCCCAAACGGAATGAGGATCGAAGCAGAGGGTGGGGTAAAGAAGGGGGCGGGGCTTCACCACGTGACCGCCCCGCCCCCTAGAGGTTCTCTTCCGGAGCTCCGTACCTGAGAGCTCCCCCCCCCACTAGAGCCCTGGTTTTACAGGCCCTGTTGAATGGTAAGAAGTCCCGCAGGACCCTGGTCTCACTTGGGAGCTTGTTCCACCAGGCCTAAACTGAAAAAACTCTGGCAGAAGCTAAGTGGATGTCTTTTGGGCTGGGGAAATGCTCCCTCTAAGCTGTGGCATCTTGTGAGCAAAAATTCTACTTTGTGAGCTACTGGCATTAAAGTTGTGAGTGAGCGATTTGGCTTCTGCATAAACTAGTTTGCTCGGGAGCCATCCTTCCTGAGCTAAGACAAAAAATGTGTGAGCTGGAGGCTAAAAAACTGTGAGCTAGCTCACACTAACTCATCTTAGAGGGAACACTGCTGGGAACCACCAGATGTTGTTCTGACCAGCGGGGGACATATTGGGAAAGACGATCCTGCAGATATGTTTAGCAGCTCCATTTTTAACTTTATTTTTTACTTTTTGCATGATGTATTCCTGGAAACCCAGACTCTTTCTACTCCCAACCATTTCTGTTACACAAGTGTCCAGCTACTATCCCGTGGGCACTTACTTGGGAGTCACCCCCAGGGAACAGGAGTTCAGGATGGTGCTGTGAAGCCACGATCCTTCAAACACCTACCTGGGAGTAAATCCCATTAAATCAAGTGGGGCTTACTTCCGAGTAAGCATGCACGGGGCTGAGGTGCCATCCTTTGTATAATTTTCTTGGGAGTAAATGAATAAATGTGAATCAACCAATGAATCAAGTGGGGCTTACTACTTCCGAGGGGGTATGCACAGGTTAGGGTTGCCAGGTCTGGGTTAGAAAATACCTGGAGACTTTGGGGGTGGATCCAGGAGAAGGTGGGGTTTGGGGAGGGGAGGAGCCTCAGCAGGGTTCAATGCCATACAGTCCGCCCTTCAAAGCAGCCATTTCCTCCAGGGGGGCTGATCTCTGTCAGCTGGAGATCAGTTGTAAAAGCGGGAGATCCCCGGGACCCACCTGGAGGCTGGCAACCCTAGCACAGGTACGGTCTTATGCACCCCTTTCTTGGGAGTAAACCCCAAAGAATTAAGTGGGGGCGGCTTACTCCCGAGTAAACATGCCCAGCAGGGCTGCTGCGCTTCAGCAACAGCTCCTTTCCCTCGCCGGCGTTGCGGTCCCAGCTGTTGCACGGCTGCTCGGTTTCCCGGGGAAGGAGTTCCTTGTAACGCACTCTCCGTGCAGTTTGTTCCGCACGCTTCTTGAGCCTTGTGTGGCTCGAAGGGAGGGAGCCTGCTGCTCTGGTTTCCCCGGGTCATGAGCCCCTCACTCCGACCCCATCGCCCGGGGAGCCGAGGGGCCGGATGGAGCAGCCTCAAGTTGCAACCGCCCTCGATGCCTACCAGCCTGCCGTGCCTGCGCGGCCCGCCTGCCTTTACACCAGCTGCTACTGGTAAGGAGCCCTCTTTGGGGTTGCCGGGTAGCCCAGATCCATCCAGATCGACCCCCCGCCCCAGCCCACCCCATAAGAACCTATCCTGATAGAGGATGTACTAAAAAGAATGACAAGAATGCCCACACACCAGAAACCAAGGGAGCTGCCTGACGGCCCTTTGGATATAAGGCAAGGGAAATGAGTGACCCTATGCTGGGCCTGGAAGGACAGCCCCCCAAGTTGAAGGATGGTGCCTGGGAGTTGAAAAACTGTACTAGACCTGGAATGACAGTCCCGACAGTGGAATGCCAGTCAAGAGCATAATTCCCCAATTAATTCATAGTATAATTGCAAGGGAAATGAGCGACCCTGCGGCTGGGCCTGGAAGGACAGCACCCCAAGTTGAAGGATGGTGCCTGGGAGTCGAAAAACTGTACTAGGCCTGGAATGACAGTCCCGACAGTGGCATGCCAGTCAAGAGCATAATTCCCCAATTAATTCATAGTATAATGAAATAATATTCACGGGAGGGTAGCCGCAGATGCTACAGTGTAGTGAAGTCCATCGCTCTGCTTCCATTTCCCCCTCCACATTGTAATGTCTCAAAGGGAATTTGTGTATCTTCCCTGTAAGAGATAACCCCTTAACAAAATAAGTTTGCATCTCTGCATCCGATATATGTATGGTAAGGTAAAAATCCTGGCAGAATTAGGCTCTAGGATACTTAGAATACAATTTGGTCAGAAGGGTTAGAAAGAAATATGTCATAGAAAGTAGGAGAACAGAGTTTGAGTGCTGGTCTTAAAGGTGCCACTGGACTCAGACTTTGTTCTGCTGCTTCAGAACAACTCGGCTACCCACCTGGACAGAAAGCAGGAGTCACCTTTAAAAAAAAAAAAAAGCTGGTCTTAAAATGTGTTCTCTGGAAAAGACAGAGAAATTAAGAGAGTCTTCAGGTAGCTCCAGAGAGTATCTATGTTACTTTTGTTAGCCGCCCTGAGCCTTAGGGGAGGGCGGGATATAAATCGAATTATAAATAAATAAATAAAAGATGTTGGTCTGCAGTAGAACAATTAGATTTGAATTCAGTTTCATCTTAGAGACCAACAAGATTTTCAGGGTATAAAAGAGTCAAAGCTCCCTGAGTAAGAATGCAGATCTGAGTCCTTCTATCCAAGCCCAAAGGTGGCAGGGGTGTTGTAAAGAATGCTTGTAAAAGATGCAAAGGTACCATTTATATTGTAATCAGCTTGATTAGAGCAGAGGGGAGATGCTTGGGGGTGGAAAATTAGCATCTGTAGTGAGATAAGGATCTCTTGGCCCTATTCAGTCCCAGAGTCCATTGTCCTGAACTTGTGAATGCACTCAGGTTCAACAATCTCACATTGTAATTTCCCCTTGAAGTTTCTTTGTTTGAGGACTGCTCGAAGTCTAACCACTGTTTTGTTCCCTTATAGGGTAGAGCCCATTTCATCAGATCCATAAGGAGGATCTGTTAGCAAATGTGTATATGCATCATTATAAAGAAATATAAGCTGTATACAACAGGGTCAAAAGGTCAGGAAATGCAAGAAATTATTGAAATTATTGGGTAGAGTCTAAACATAATCAAGACATAGTGGTTGAAATTATTGGGTAGAGTTTAAACGTAATCAAGAAAAGTACAATGGCCATTGGCTAAAGGATCAACTGATGATAATGCAGTCTTTCTAGTTTGTAATGACTAAGGAATCCCAAATCTTTGTCCCACCCGTGGGAAGTGCAATCAGATTTAGATCAGCAGTTAGTGAAGCCACCGTATTTCAACAGAAGAACTTCCAAGAGAGACCCCAGTGTGAAACAGATGAGTAGTGACTCACGAAAGGTCATATAACATGCCAAAATGTTGTTAGTCTTTATGGTGCTTCTGGACTCTTGCTCTTTTCTACATTCATCAACATTCATGCATTTGATTGCCAGGCCATCAGTGGTCACTGTGGTTTTTCTGGCTTTACATTTGAATGCTATATAATAATGCCACACCCTGTTCTTCCTGCACTCCACAGCCTTTGGACCTTGCTGCGTACAACTTTTTCCTTCCATAACCACGAACATAGAAACATAAGAACATAAGTAGAGGCTGCTGGATCAGACCAGTGCTCCATCTACTCCAGTATCTTATATTACACGGCAGCTAACCAGTTGCCCTGGAAAACAAACAGACTGGGCACTGAGACCAAGACCTTCCCTTGCTGCTGCCTCCTATTTATTTTTATTTATTTATTTGTTGGATTTCTATACCGCCCTCCCAAAGGCTCAGGGCGGTTCACAGGCGGCAAGTCGGAATCTAAAATACAATAAAACATACAATAAAATACAATATTTAACCCCAAAAACCATCCTATAACACGGTGCTATATCATTCAACCAAGATGGGAATAACCATCCAGCTTTGGTGGCCAGCTATCTCAGTAGCGTCCCGCTATGCTGTCTATGACTTCTGCCTGGGCATACCTGCCCCACTTTCGTAGGGCAGCCGATGACATACTACCACTGGCATTCAGAGGTTTGCTGCCTCTGGGTATGGAGGCTTCCTTCAGTCATCATGGCTAATAGGCATAGATGGACCTACTCTCCATTAATCTATCTAGTCCCCTTTTATGTGTATGGCCTACGTCCACTGGCAATGAATTGCACAGTTTAATTACTCTTCGAGTCAAGAAGTATTTCCTTTTGTCTCTCCGGTCTTGTTAACATCTGCATTCGGAGCATCCCTAAGCAGACTCCCTCCCTTATTTTGCTTGCTCCAGAGTGTGATGCCAGCCAATGGAACTGTTTCTTGCATCGTATGAAGAGGGCTGTAGCCCATCTCTAGGATAAATGTTTGTTAGCCTTTACTGTGCCATGGTGAGCCTCCCCTGCTTGTTTCTGCTGCAACAGACTAGCGTCGCTAACCTTCTGAGGTCATTTGGGTTTATTTTTCCCTTGTCTTCTTTCACAGTGAGGAAAATGTCTGGAAGCTTTGCGAACACATCCGAAGCCAGAATCGGTACCCTTTGGAAGAATTTTATGCCGTTTTCATTTCCAATGACAGAAGGATGGTGAGTTGTGGGGGAGAATTGAAGCTGAAGCACAAAGTGGAGTGAGAAGTACAGCCTAGCACTTAGGTGACGTGAAGATTAAACTTTGTTGGTCTTAAAGGTGCCCCTGGACTCAAACTTTGTTCTATTGCTTCATACCAGGGGTGGCCAAACTGTGGCTCCAACTCTCCATGAATCTGTCTAGTCCCCTTTAATGCTTATGGCCATAGCTACGTCCACTGGCATTGAATTGCACAGTTTAATTACTCGTCGAGTCATGTGGCCCTTTCACACATACTGTGTGGCTCCCGGCAGGGTGGCTGGGGAAGCGAAGGGGAGCCCTGCTTTTCCTTCCTTCCATTTGCTTTCTTTGTTTTTTTCTCTCTCTCTCTCTCACTTTCTTTCCGCCCCTCTCTCCCTCCCTCTCTCTCAGACAAATAAATATCATTAGCAAACAGATATCATTGGACATAAGAACATAAGAGACGCCAATGTTGGATCAGGCCAAAGGCCCATCCAGTCCAACACTCTGTATCACACAGTGGCCAGAAATACCAGGTGCCATCAGGAGGTCCACCAGTGGGGCCAGGACATTAGAAGCCCTCCCACTGTTGACCCCCCCCCAAGCACCAAGAAGACAGAGCATCACTTGCCCCAGAGTCCCTATCTATACCTTGTGGCTAATAGCCACTGATGGACCTCTGCTCCATATGCTTATCTAATTCCCTTTTGAAGCCGTCCATGCTTGTAGCCGCCGCCACTTCCTGTGGCAGTGAATAAATAAATATCATTATCAATATCTGGTTTTGCCCCTTTTGCTTTTATTTTTGGCGGTCTCGTTTAATGTTAATAAAAAAGCAAATTGGCATATCTCTCCTTATATATAATTGAATAGTGGGTGCCAAAGTTGTGTCTTGCGGCTCTCAAACATCTGAAGTTTATTCTATGTGGCTCTTATGCTGAGCAAGTTTGGCCGCCCTTGCTTCAGACCAACACGGCCACCCACGTGAATCTATGAAGATTCTATATTTTCTGCCGCTTCAGGCCCTTTGCTAATTACCTTGTGTCCAGAACAGGGATGTTGTTGTTGTTCTAAACTGGCCCTGCTTCTCTGCCATTAATGGTAACCCAGCAGGCATCAGATAAACTCAGAAAAATTCATCCTGTCACTTTATCTCCAAATGGTGCCACCCACTGCATTCCAAGGAGTCTGGTGACACTTAAAGGAAGAGGAGAAGGAGGAAGCAAGCTGATTAACAAGAAGAGAAAACAAGCGGCAGTCCTAATTCAGATGAGTTTAGTGGTCAGAGTGGATCTGGAAGGCCCGGATTCGAATCTCCACTCTGCTGTGGGTGACCCTGGGCCACTCACACACTGTCACCTAACCTACCCCGCAGGCTTCTTGGAGGATAAAATGGAGGACAGGAGAACAACAAAAGCCTCTTTGGGTCTCCCTGAGGGTGAAAGGCAGGGTATAAATGAAGTAAACAGATAAATCTTCACTTAGCCAAGAAGCTCATTCTTTAACCTTACGACAGTCATTATCTCTCAACCTACCTCACAGGGTTAGTGTGAGGATATAATGAGGCTGGGGAAAGCCACATACTCCGCCCTGCGCTTCTTGGAGGAAGGTCAAGATTTATACGAAGTGCAGTATTTTTTTTTAAAAAAATACTTGTTTCTTGTAACCCAATAGGTACCACTTTGGCAGCAAAAGTCAAGATGTGGAAGTCAGCCAGTGATCTGGGTGAGGAAATACATATTTTGTGCTCTGCTTATGCTTGCTACTACCTGGGCCCTCACAGCTGCGAATGTATGAAACTGCTTTATACTGAACTAGACCACAGGTCCATCCACCTGAATCCTGCTTTCTCCAGCTGGTGGCAACTCTGCAGTCAGGTGGAGATCCGTCCCAGCCTTTTGGCCTGAGATCCCTTGTCTGTCGAGGTGCTGAGGACTTGAGAACCAGCTTGGTGTAGTGGCTAGGGGCGCGGACTCTAATCTGGGAGAACCGGGTTTGATTCCCCACTCCTCCTCCACATGAGGCCTGCTGGGTGACCTTGGGCCAGTCACAGTTCTCTCAGAACTCTCTCAGCCCCACCTACCTCACAGGGGATCTGTTGTGGGGAGGGGAAGGGAAAGGAGATTGTAAGCCACTCTCGAGACTCCTTCGGGTAGTGAAGGGCAGGGTATAAATCCAATCTCTTCTCTTCTTGAACTGGGGACCTTCTGCATGGAAAACATTCCCTCTGCTACTGAGCTATACGGCACACAGTGTAGGTAAAGCCAGTGTGGTGTAGTGCTCAAGAGCAGCGGACTCTCATTTGGAGAACCAGGCTTGATTCCCCACTCCTCCTCCACATGAGGCCTGCTGGGTGACCTTGGGCCAGTCACAGTTCTCTCAGAACTCTCTCAGCCCCACCTACCTCACAAGGTGCCTGTTGCAGGGAAGGGAGGTTATAAGCCACTTTGAGACTCCTTAGGGTAGGGAAAAGAAGGGTATATCAACCAACCTTTCTTCTTCTAGGTAGAGGGAGTGCAGCCGTCCTCCTGTTGCTTCGTTCCAACCCCTGTCAATTCCTTTTGTTTACATAATAATTTATATCTGTCGGCAAGCTGACCTACAGAGAAGGCGCCTATCCAAAGAAAAGTGGATCATATTTCCTGACCTGTTTTTTTTTAATGATATAAAGATCTGGGAGGGCTCTCATTTTGCTCCTGGCCATCCTAGGCGTTTGTTTTTGTTACACAAACACCCCCACAGTTTCTGACAGATACAATATGGGATACTTCCTCCTGCTTCTACTCATAGCAGTTCTGGTTCTGAGTGATTTCTCCTGGGCAGACTGTGTGATTCTCCTGGGCAGATTGGGTGGGTGAAAGGACCCTTCGCCTACACCAAAAATGTCTGCTTTATAGGGGATTGGAATTTGCTGCTTTCGTGGGCAAACCCAATGTGTTTACCAGTGTATCATCATGATAGCTGGCCAGTTTTATATTGGGCAGAAGATGACACAGCAACTTTCCTGCCGCTAAGTAATTACGTGTCTGGTTAGCTTCTGGATCGGGGTCCGTGTGGGGAGGGCAGGCCACCATGGGAGTTCCAAGGCAGAAGAACATCTAGATATAAAAGGAATAGACTGAACCAGGGGCAGACTGCATTCCCTTCTCTAGTGAGTAACCAGAGAGCTCCCGTTTACTTGGATATATACACTCAGACCTGGATGGCTCCGGATATCCCAGTCTCATCAGATCTCGAAAGCTAAGCAGGGTCAGGCCTGGTCAGGCCACAGCAGGGCATTTGGGGGCAGAGCCCCACCACAGATGAGCCCTGCCCCCACCCCAGGAGAATGACAGACCCCCCTGTTCCCAGTGTGCCTTGCTCCCAGTGGCGGGGAGGCTGGGGAAGGAAAAGGAAGCTGTCCTACCGCTTCTGGTCAGTTTCACCCCCCTGCCTATCAGCTGTTAGGTTTAACAGCTGATCTGAGGGAAGTGAAACTGACCAGAAGCGGTAGGGCGGCTTCCTTTTCCTTCCCCAGCCTTTCCGCTGCTGCGAGGGGGGCTAGGAAACTCTGTCCATCGCTACTCTCTCTGTCCATCGCTACCCCCCCCCAAACACCCCAGCACCCTGACCCTTGCCCCACCAGCATGGTTGGTACTTGGACGGGAAAGTACCAAGGAATACCAGGGTTGCTATGCAGAGGCAGGCAATGGCAAATCACCCTTGTTCACTTATGCCTTGAAAGCAGGTCACTTTAAGTCAGCTGTGACTTGAAGGCACTTTCTGCCACCATGTATTTATAGTGGTGGAAAGTGGTGTCAAGTCACAGTATGACGACCCCACAAGGGGTTTTCAAGGCAAGATACACACACACACACACACACAATTAGGAATTAATCTCTGTTGAGTTTGCAGTAGAAGAGTGAAGGACTCACACGAGACGCGATCTTTGAGGGAGAAGAATCTGTCTGCCCCAAAGGAGCAAGAGACTTTATTTTATACACATTCTCCCCCCCCCCCCCGCGAGGTGGTTGGCTTGCACATACAGAAACAGGGGAAAACAGATACTTAGACAGAATGTCTAAAATGCTTGCACAGTATCTTAAGACTTGCTTGCAGTTTCACGATGTGCAAAGGTCAGGACTCTTAGGGTGCGTTCAGACGTGCTGTTTCAGCCGGCATAAACTGTACCGGTTGGAACTGGTGCAGTTTATGCCGGCTGAAACGCGATCACACTCACCTCCTGTCTGCGGATCCCATCGCTGTATGCCCGTCCACACACAGTGGGCATCGGCGGTTTTTTTTGGTTTTTTAAACTCCGCTTGAGCATGCGCATAGGCATAGAATGGCGATCTTCGCACATGTGCAAAACCCCTGTCTTACATTTAATCTTTAAAGGTAAGGACTTACCTTTAAACTTTAAAGAGCAAAGTAGCCTACCTGAGGTCCTGGACGCCTCCGAAATGCTAAACTAAGGCCCTTTTCTTTTTCTTTTTAAAACAAACGCCAGGGCGAAGCTTCGCCCAAGCGCATATCGCCGACCTTTCAAAAAAATGGCCGGCGAAAATCGGACGCCTCAGGCTTCCAAACGGAAGTGGCTCTGCAACGGTGGAGAGCGATCAGACAGGGGGGTAAAGCGATTACAACCGTTGTACTCAGGATACCACCACTTGGGGACCTAGTGGCAGAATACAACGGTGTAAAGCTCTTTGCAACGGGTAGGGACGGAAGGCAGATGTTCTACGTGTGAATGCCGGTAAGTACACCGATTGCAACTGGCACCTATACCGTTGCAAACGCCGCGTCTGAACGCACCCTTAGTGTACCAAAGTCACTGATCAACCCTATGTTTACAGAGTCTGGGTGTGGCTCAGAACCAGGACTGGCATGCCACATCGCTGATCCTTACCCACAGAAGAGATCTTTGAACCAGAGATTCCCCAGCAGTGTTCCCTCTAAGTCGAGTGAGTGTGAGCTGGCTCACAGTTTTTTAGCCTCCGGCTCACATGTTTTTTGTCTTAGCTCAGGAAGGACGGCTCCTGAGCAAACTAGTTTATGCAGCAGCCAAATCGCTCACTCACAACTTTAATGCCAGTAGCTCACAAAGTAGAATTTCTGCTCATAAGACTTGCAAGCTTAGAGGGAGGGTTGTTCCCCAGTTGTCATGACTAATAAAAAATGCACCAAAAGCAACTTTAAGATTGTCACGCAGAGATGATACTTTTTCTGGCTTCTGTAATGATTATAGATACAGTTATTATAAATGCAGCTAACAAGGTTTTTTCTCCTCCAATTTACAGGATTACCATGTTATTTTACTTCATGTCTCCAGTGGAAACCAGAACTTTATTTATGACCTCGACACGGTGCTACCTTTTCCATGCCCTTTTGACACTTACGTTGAAGAGGCCTTTAAATCTGACGATATTCTTGATCCTAAATTTCGAAGGTGAGGATGTAAAGCACAAATGGGGACACAATGGGCTGTGCTGACTTTAGAATTGTATGGTTGCTTTTCTCAGCTTGGAGCTAAATAATATTGCTAATACAGAGAGAAGAAGAGATTGGATTTATAATCCACCCTTCGCTACCCAAAGGAGTCCCAGAGCGGCTTACAATCTTTCCCTTTCTCTCCCCACAACAGACACCCTGTGAGGTATGTGAGGCTGAGAGAGCTCTCTCGGGAACTGCTCTTGAGAGAACTCTGAAATAACTTGTGACTGACCCAAGGTCATACCAGCAGCCAGTGTTCCCTCTAAATTGAGTTAGTGTGAGCCAGCTCACAGTTTTTTAGCCTCTGGCTCACACATTTTTGCCTTAGCTCAGGAAGGATTGCTCTAGAGCAAACTAATTTATGCAGCTGCCAAATTGCTTGCTCACAACTTTGATGCCAGTAGCTCACAAAGTAGAATTTTTGCTCCTCCACGTATATATCAGAAACGGCCTAAACCTTACTTTCCAGGGAGTAAGTCTCACTGACTGAGATTTTATTTATTTATTTATTTATTTAAAACATTGGCCACCTTTCTTGCTTATGGAGCTCAAGGCAGCTTACAGTAAAAATAAAATACATAAAGTAAGAGTACATAAAACCAAAATCATAAAATCGTAATTTAGGGCCGGTTTAATCAAATGCAGTTCAGCTGCTTCCTAAGGACTGAAAGTGAGGGGTCCAGGCACACCTCCCCTGGGAGGGAGCGGTGGCGCAGGTGGTTAAATGCCTGCTGGTAACATCTACGAACAGCTGCTACAGCTGTTCGAAACCCACCGCGGCCAGAATGAGCACCTGGCCCCTGTCCCAGCTCCCGCTAACCCAGCGGTTCGAAAGCAGGAATTAATATCAAAAACTGTGAGTAGATAAATTGGGTACCTACCTTAGATGGTAGGGAGCACCCTCCCCCGTCAAGGGGGTTTGTGGAGTGTCGGCGAGCGGCAAAAAGATGGCGACCAAGTGTAACATCCACGGTGGACCGGATGCAGCGGAGAGGCGGAGCCAGGAGACGCGAGGTTCATGGAAGGCGCAGACGCGGCGGTGCCTAAGCGGACAGAGCCGGAGCTGCGCCGGAGCGTACCTGCGCACCAGAGGGGCCTGCCGATCCACCACCGGAAGACCATGAAGAGAAGGAGGAAGTGAGAGCCGGAAAAAGCCGAGCCGACCGGGAGGAAGAAGATCAACAAAAAGACCTCCACAGGGTGCCGGTAGGGCAGTCCCCATCCCCAGCATATGTGGCCATAGGTAGGGATAAGCGATTAACTGTAAGCCGCTCAGAGACCCCCTGGGGGTTCGAGCGGGGTAGAAAGTTGAAAGATAAATAAATAAATAAAATAAAGGTTGTTCCATAATCACGGGGCTGCGACTGAAAAGGCCCTGTCTCGTGTGCCCACCAGCCGAGCTTCTTTGATGGGTGGGACAGTGAGGAGGGTATCTCCTTGCTTCTGGGTAGACCTGCTTAGGATTGCTCCCATTGCCAGCTTCACCATTCAGTGAGGCTGAGATAAACTGGGATGGCAGTGGATTCAGCAGTGTAACGTACAGACAACTAATGCTCTCTCTAAGCTGTAGAGTCTTGTGAGCAAACATTGTACTGGCATTAAAGTTGTGAGCCAGCGATTAGGCTGCTGCGTAAATTAGTTTGTTCTTGGAGCCATCCTTCCTGAGCTAAGGCAAAAATGTGTGAGCTGGAAGCTAAAAACTGTGAGCTAGCTCACACTATCTCAGCTTAGAGGGAACACAACTACCAGTAGGTCATGAGTTGGGGGGGGGGGTTAGCTGTCAAGCCACAGCCGACTTATTGCAACGTCATAGGGTTAAGAACATAAGGGAAGCCATGTTGGGTTAGGCCAACGGCCCATCCAGTCCAACACTCTAGGTCACCCAGTGGCCAAAACCCAGGTGCCATCAGAAGGTCCACCAGCAGGACCAGAACTTCAGAATCCCTCCCACTGTTGCCCCCCAAGTACCAAGAATACAGAGCATCACTGCCCCAGACAGAGTGTTCCATCTATACTTTGTGACTAATGGCCACCAATGGACCTCTGCTCCATGTATTTATCCAATCCCCTCTTGAAGCTGCCTGTGCTTTTCAAGGCAAGAAATGTTCCGAGGTGGCTTGCCATTGCCTGCCTCTGCGTAGCAACCCTAAACTTCCTTGGTGGTCTCCAGGGTTCCCTCTAAGCTGAGTTAGTGTGAGCTAGCTCACAGTTTTTTGGCCTCCGGCTCCCACATTTTTGTCTTAGCTCAGGAAGGAGGGCTCCAGAGCCAACTAATTTATGGAGTAGCCAAATTGCTCACTCACAACTTTAATGCCAGTAGCTCACAAAGTAAAGTCTTTGCTCACAAGACTCCACAGCTTAGAGGGAACATTGGACTGGTCTCCCATCTGAGTGCTAATCTGGGCTGACCCTGCTTAGCTTCCAAGATCTGACCTGGAATACCACAGAGTAACTGACGTCGCCAAGGCTGAGTGATACAAGAGAGTATGTTGAAAACTAAAAATAAAACAGGTATCTTCCCCCCCCCCCTTTACCTTTTTTTCTGGGACAGTTTGACTTACTCTAGACTAAGCCAGCATACAGACGTCAGTCTGTAAAAGGCATGTGTTTAAAGTGGGTTTCTACAGTTCAGGTTAACTGTTCTTATATGCAGCTCAAAGCCTACAATCAATAGTTTGGTTCAGACGTAATTGGAAAATGCCAGGAGCTGATTCCACCCACTTCTTGCCTAGTTTGGTGTCGTGGTTAAGTGCGTGGACTCTAATCTGGGAGAACCGGGTTTGATTCCCCCCACTCCTCCACTTGCACCTGGCTGGATGACCTTGGGCAAGCCGTAGTTCTGATACGAGCTGTTCTTGAAAAAGAGCAGTTTCTGTCAAGAGCTCTCTCAGCCCCACCCGCCTCACAGGGTGTCTGTTGTGGGGAGGGGGAGGGAAAGGAGTTTGTAAGCCGCTCTGAGACCCCTTTGGGTAGTGAACGGCGGGGTGTAAATCCAATCTCTTCTTCTATGTCTCCGCTGGGGGTTAGACAGTCCCCGTCATTTAAGTGTTTTTCTTGTTTAGGAAAGTCAGAGTGGTCCGAGCAGATATGTATATGAAGACTTTTGCATCTGACCGGTCCCATATGAAGGATGCCAGTGGGAACTGGCTACAGCCGCCCCCCCCATACCCGTGCATTGAAACTGCAGGTAAGCCCCTCTTGTTACATCTGATCCAAACCAGATCCCATGACTACGGCTGCTTAACCTCTATAGATATTTAGCTACTTACATCTCGCTTTTCTCTGCAATGGGAGCCCAGAGCATCTCACATCAGTCCCCCCCTTCTCCATTTTATCCTTGCAACAACCCTGTGAGGTAGGTTGGGCCGAGACAGAGAGTGACTGGCCCAAGGTCATCCAGTGAGCTTCTGGGGCAGAATGGGGATTCGAACCTGGGTTCTCCCAGATCCTAGTCCGACGCTCTGTGTCACTGGCTTTCTTTGTCACCACCAGCTTGTTATGTCACTGTAAAGGTAAAGGTTCCCTTGCTCGAAAGCCAGTCGAGTCCGACTCTAGGGTTGCGGTGCTCATCTCAGTTTCAAAGCCGAAGAGCCAGCGCTGTCCGAAGATGTTTCCGTGGTCATGTGGCCAGCATGACTAAACACCAAGGCGCACAGAACGCTGTTACCTTCCCACCGAAGTGGTACCTATTTATCTACTTGCAATTTCTTGCTTTCAAACTGCTGGGTTGGCAGGAGCTGGAACTAGAGACGGGAGCTCACTCCGTCATGCGGCAACCCGGGTCTCGAACTGCTGAACTACCGACCTTCCACAGCCTGCAGTTCAGCGTCTTAACCACTTGAGCCACCGCAGCTCGTCAAGTCAATGTCACTGACAGTGGGCTAAAAGCTGTGTTTGGATACAAAAGCAACCTAGTCTCTTCCCAGCAGACTTGGATGTGTTATTAGGTCCAAGATGTGTTATTAGGTCCATCTTTTTGTCCCAGCAAAGGACACCTACATTTGTGTTTTTGTGGATCTCGTTCATTCATACCGGGAGCGGGGGGGGACATAAGGTTGCCAGTTCCGGTTTGGGAAATATCTGGAGATTTCGGGGGGGGAGCCTGGGGAAGGTTTAGGTGGGAGAGAGGAGGGGCCTCAGCAGGGTACAATGCCTTAGAGGCCACCCTCCAAAGCGGCCATTTTCTCCTGGGGAGCTGATCTCTGTACTCTGGATTTTGTTATGGATACCGTTTTACTGGCTTCCCTTTGTAACGTCTCCCGCCCCCCCGCCCCCATACTTTTCTTTTCTTTTCGGTTTGCTGCTGATGTATAAATACATCTGTCTAGTGCAGGGGTCTCCAACGTGGTGCCTGTGCCATGGCGCCCCCCAAGATCTTTCCTGGGGCTTGCGAAGTGTTTTTAGAATGTGGGTTAGGCCAGGTGGGGGTCTTGCCCAGCAAGGCTCCCGATCGACCACTGGAGGTTTGATTGGCCGTGCAGATTAAAATAACATTATTTTCAGCAGCAGCAGCTGCCACCATAGTGTCCCATTGCATTTATTTTAAATTACCTTTCTTCTCCCCTGCACTTGGAATTTCTGTGTTTCTGTATGGGACTCTGCCTCCCACGGTGGCCATTTTGTGGCTGGCTCCACCTCCTATGGCTGCCATTTTGTGGTTGGCTCCACCTCCTACAGCCACCATTTTGTGGTGGTGTCCATCACCCTGTGTCAGGATTCCAAAAGTGGCTGCAGAGTCAGAAAGGTTGGGTTTCTCTGGCCTCGTGGATGAACCCTTCATGCATCTGGTCAAGTGAGTAAATGACTCCCAAAAGTTGATGCCAGAATTAATTTTGTTAGTCTTTTAGGTGCCACAGGACTCCAGTTTTACGTTGCGGTTGCAACCCATCCGTGACCGTGCCTGCTTGCAGTGCAAGGTCTTGACGGGAGGGCATGTTCCTGTCAGTGCTGCCATTCTTTAATTTATTTAGTTTATAGAATCACAGAATCACAGAGTTGGAAGGGGCCAAACGGGCCATCTAGTCCAACCCCCTGCCTAGAGCATCCCTGACGAGGGTTTGTCTAGCCGCTGCTTAAAGACTGCCGGGGGGGGGGGGGCCCACCACCTCCCTAGGCAGCTGATTCCACTGCTACAGAACTCTTACTGTCAAAAGGTTTTTCTTAATTTTCATCCGGTACCTTCCCGCCTTTAATTGAAACCCATGATTGCGAGTCCTTGTCAGGACGCACAGCTCAGCAATGAAGTACACGCTTCCAAGAAGGTTTTACTTTTATTGAAAAGCCATAGATGCGATAACATGAACACTGTTAGGAATGGCGGATTACCTGTGCGCATAATAGGATATAGGGCATTCGTATGCGCGCCCCCATAGCCATAACCAATTAGGAGGCCTCCCGCGTGGGGGATACTGTTGGACTCTCTAACGGTTGCGAAGCTGGGAACGGAGAAGCTCCCACGGACGATAGACACCACATTCTCCACCAGTACAACATCAAAGATAAGCATTACAGCTCTGAAGCAATTAAGCACATGGGAAGGAATGCAAAGCAATTAGAAAACATCTGCCCACTCATGGCAGCGTAGCTGACGGTCCTGTCCTCTGCTGCCAACAGGAACAGTTCCCTGCCCTCGTCTAAGTGACAGCCCTTCAGATACTTCAAGAGAACAATCCTGTCCCCCCCTCAACCTCCTCTTCTCCAGACTGGACATTTCCCAAGTCCCTCAGCCTTTCCTCATAGTCCTCATATTTATAGCCCAGCTTTCTCACTGAGGCTCTAGGTGGGTTACAGAGGCTGTGTCTCTGCTGGTGGTTCTGGACTGAGGTCTGAGACGGAGGGAAAAGTGATGACCAACCCTCTTGACCTCCTCACTCTTCCCACACGCCCCTTTCCCTGCAGCCAGGTTCTGCCTCTGCTTCCCCGCCATCCTTCTGCGCTCACTCTTCGGTGAACTTTAGCTAGGTTTATGTGTCAATCCTGGGTCCGTTGCTGATATATACATGGAGAAGCAAAGATTCCCGGCACGTACAGATCTAGCCTCCTGAACCTGTTTGTAGTCAACAGATCTGCCCAGAGGTTTCTACACAGTGTGTGTGTGTGTGTGTAAAGTGCCCTCAAGTCACATCTGACTTTTGGCAGCCCCATAGGGTTTTCAAGGCCAGAGATGAACAGAGATGATTTGTCGCTGCCTGCCTCTGTATAGCAACCCTGGGCTTCCTTGGGGGCCTCCCATCCAAGTACTAACCAGGGCTGACCTTGCTTAGCAGCCAAGATCTGACGAGATCAGAGTGGCCTGGGCTACCCAGGTCACAGTTTAGAAGACGCAGAAGAAGAGATTGGATTTATACCCCGCCCTTCACTACCCAAAGGAGTCTCAGAGCGGCTTACAAACTCCTTTCCCAAACCCTTCTGCCCTCCTCCCTCTTTCCACACGCCCCTTTCCCTGCAGCCAGGTTCTGCCTCTGCTTCCCCGCCATCCTTCTGCGCTCACTCTTCGGTGAACTTTAGCTAGGTTTATGTGTCAATCCTGGGTCCGTTGCTGATATATACATGGAGAAGCAAAGATTCCCGGCACGTACAGATCTAGCCTCCTGAACCTGTTTGTAGTCAACAGATCTGCCCAGAGGTTTCTACACAGTGTGTGTGTGTGTGTGTAAAGTGCCCTCAAGTCACATCTGACTTTTGGCAGCCCCATAGGGTTTTCAAGGCCAGAGATGAACAGAGATGATTTGTCGCTGCCTGCCTCTGTATAGCAACCCTGGGCTTCCTTGGGGGCCTCCCATCCAAGTACTAACCAGGGCTGACCTTGCTTAGCAGCCAAGATCTGACGAGATCAGAGTGGCCTGGGCTACCCAGGTCACAGTTTAGAAGACGCAGAAGAAGAGATTGGATTTATACCCCGCCCTTCACTACCCAAAGGGTCTCAGAGTGGCCTACAAACTCCTTTCCCTTCCCCTCCCCCACAACAGACACCCTGTGAGGTAAAAGAAGAAGAAGAAGAGATTGGATTTATACCCCGCCCTTCACTACCCAAAGGGTCTCAGAGTGGCCTACAAACTCCTTTCCCTTCCCCTCCCCCACAACAGACACCCTGTGAGGTAAAAGAAGAAGAAGAAGAGATTGGATTTATACCCCGCCCTTCACTACCCAAAGGGTCTCAGAGTGGCCTACAAACTCCTTTCCCTTCCCCTCCCCCACAACAGACACCCTGTGAGGTAGGTGGGGCTGAGAGAGCTCTCCCAAGGACTGCCCTTGAGAGAACAGCTCTGAAAGAACTTGTGACTGACCCAGGGTCACGCCAGCAGCTGCATGTGGAGAAGGGGGGAATCAAACCCGGTTCTCCCAGATTAGAGTCCGCGCTCCTAACCACTGCACCAAACTGGCTTTTTAAAAACATTACTGATTTCTTTTTCTTGCTCCCTGTTTTTCTTTCTGTTTTCTTAGACTTCAAGATGAACCTGGACAATTTCATTAGTATGAATCCAGACGTGGGATGGGGGTCCATATTGCCGCTTCCTGAATTTGCGCAGGGGTTTGGCCGGAGCTGATTGCGGCTCACAATGAAGGACAGTGAAATCATTCCAGTTGAATCGTTGCTTTGGCGACGCTTGCCAGTCTATTTATTGATTTTAATTTGTCAGAACTCGGGATATTATTTGTGGCATTTTTGGAAATAAAAAGAACGTGTTTAAGTGAACTGCAGTGTTTTAAATTTTTTGAAATCCGTTCCAAGACGTTTGAAGAAATCCTTTCAGTTTTTAAATTATTTTTAGAGTTTTGTATTGGGATCAATGCTCCCTCTAAGCTGTGGAGTCTTGTGAGCAAAAATTCTACTTTGTGAGCGACTGGCCTTAAAGTTGTGAGCCAGCGATATGGCTACTGTATAAATTAGTTTGCTCTGGAGCCATCCTTCCTGAGCTAAGGCAAAAATGTGTGAGCCAGAGGCTAAAAAATTGTGAGCCAGCTCACACTAACTCAGTTTAGAGGGAACACTGATTGGGATTAACGAAAAATAACACAAAATGTTGTGGAAGCTTATGAATTTTACATGTTAGCAAGCTGAATGTATTTATATCGATTTACATCCCACTTTCCTCCCCGCAAGGGACCCAAAGCAGCTTATCCATCATTTTCTCCTCCTTTTCAGTTTCACAAGAATCCTGTGAAGAAGATTCAGACCGATTCCCCACAAGCAGCTGTGCCGCCCGTGTTCTTCTGTTTCCCTATTTGCATTGGTCAATTTCACACTATTCGCTGCGCGGCCGCGCTTTGACCCGCATCTCCTCCCCGACTTCCCCCGCGTCTTTTCAGTCCTTGCTTTTTGAGATCGAGAAGATGCAAGGGGAATCAGGGGCAGCTGCGGGTCAAAACGCGGCCGCGCAGTGAATAGTGTGAAATTGACCAATGCTAACGGGGGAAACAGAAGAGCGAGGGCGGCCCAGCTGCTTGTGGGGAATCGGTGTCAGTTGAAAGTGTGAGACTGGCCTGAGGTCATCTAGTGAGTTTCTGTGATTAGACTGGTGATTAGAACCCAGGTCTACCAGATCCTAGTCTAAAGATCTAACCTAAGCCACACTGGCTTTCATGGGGAGGCTGAACATTCGCAAGCAGCCAGTCCTGGGCAAGTCATGCAAGTTGGTTGATACCAAGTGATCTGGTGGTTGCTGCCAGGCTGCTAAATACATCCATTTTTTAAAGCTACAGGTGTTCCTTTTATCATTTTGGGAAGTTTCTTTCTTTCTTTCTCTTTCTTTCTTTCTTTCTTTCTTTCTTTCTTTCTTTCTTTCTTTCTTTCTTTCTTTCTTTCTTTCTTTCTTTCTTTCTTTCTTTCT